CATTTGCAAAACTGGAAATAAATTCTAAAACTATCACAAACTTAATATCTCATTCTCCTAACTCATTTCAACCCCTTTCTTTTACAAGTTAAGAAACTAAATACTGAAGGCTAATCTCTGTGCTCTCTCATAGTTACAATCTGCATTTAATCTCGCAGAAATTTTACATATAAAATATCACCACTCGTAATTTTAGTTACATCCATTAATTTTATCAATCATAATTTTAGTTACATTAATTGTAATTTTAATTATATTGGGTAATGTTCTCTTGCATAGAAATCAAGCAAAGATCTTTAGGGTTATTTTACAGGCATGATTTTATAACCTCTAAGTATATCTAAATGAACAAAATATTTAAAAAATTAACTGAGTATTTCAACACACATTGTGTTATTTTAATTCCAGTGAATCTAATCTTTTATCTTACACCATTAAAAGCATAATGTTAATTTTAAGAAATAGATAGAAAACAAAAATGAAAGAAGATACCTTTATTTCTGGGTGATCAGGAGCTACACCATATCGAATAAGACCAAAAGGAACAGGAAGTTTCTCATAAATATCAACCTCTGTGATATTATTCTAAAAAAAAAATAAAAAAGGCAGATGATAGATAGTAATTTTACTTGGATATGTTAAAAGTCAGCTGCAAACAATGTAAAATAAATTTGTTAGAAGAACTACAGTTTAATTTCTTTAACTAGTTTAACAATCTTTACTGCCACTTCTCTCTTTCCGTTTTCCTGACAAAAAGCAAATTAGCTTGCACGTACTTAAGTGAGTGTTTGAAATGGTTTAGATAAAGCATGTTTTGCTTAGTGAAACATTGCTAGGTGTACTATTCTAAGATAAGAATTCCTGTCTTTGGTCATGCATTATAATTGCCGATAGTATTTCATGCTGGGGAAATCTTATTGCCAACTTTGTATTTAAATTACTCTATTATTTATTTACATTTAGTTTTACACTGGATTTCTATTTTGGGTTCTCGTAATAAATGCTAGATGATTTGTAAGCACCAGATGTGCCTTTCGTTTATCTTATTTAGTTTTAAAATAAAGGGTCTTTTACACCCTTTTCAAGTCTGTAATACTTTATCAAGATGTCGTGATAATGTCACAAGTTACATTAAGTAAAAAGTGAATTCCTTACAAAATCAATAAAAAGTATCTGGATCTTTTCCGGTATAGGACAAAATATGCCACACAATTTCATAAAAGAAGATATATGTACCAATGTTTATGTATTGGCCAGCAATAAATTAAATATGTTGTTCTTTTTTCTGATAATAGCATCATTGTTTACAAAGTATTTAAAAGTATAACATTCAAATTTATTCTTTATTATAAGAAACATTTTACCATAGTTGAAAGGAGCTAAGGATAAAAGTATGTTTTCCCCTTGAAAGTATCAATTTGGTGTATACATCTTCCTAGAAAAAATCACCCAGTGGCTTTTTTCAACAACAAACCTTGGCATAAAAGCAGCCTTAAAATCAGAGAAGTGCTAGAAATGGCACTGGACTGTGTTGTGATAGAGTTCTTTCCAGTCTGCCATAAATCTGGAGATCAATCCTGAGAAATTTAGTAACCCTGCAGGAAACAGGAATAAAGAGGGAATCTCATCGAGCTATCTGTTCTAGTTCCAACTGATGAAGCAGACTGGTTATCTGCAAAAGCTTTAATTCTAGAAAGACCCTTTTCAGAGTGAATCAAACAAAAAATTAATAATTTTCCTCATCATCATATTCACAGTACTTGTAAGTACTTACATCTTACAGCATTTTATCATGTTGTAGAAGCTGTCAAAATTTTCAGAATGTGTCAAATTTTAATAGTCATATGTATAACAATTCTACAATTTGAGAAACAATATTGCCATTTTCATGTCTTTTGTGCTTGTTGCAGTCCAAATTTCAATGGTTTTTATAGATAAATTCCTGATATTTTTATTCTTAATCATTTTTAAAATATGCAGAACATACCTGCAGTGGAAGAAACAGCTAATCTTTGGAATATGGTAACAGGTAGTTTGGTGACATTTTGGTAAGGCGATAAAGGTTACTAGCTAGGACTTAAGCAGTGTATATGGATAAAGTCAAGAGCATGTAACAATGCCATTTTTGTGCAATTTTGGGATTTTTTTTAAGTGAAAATAGGTTGACGTGTACATGGATTATACCGTGTATGTGCAAGTCTTAAAAACGCGGCAAGCAGTGGGTGATTCTGCACTTTCTCCCAATTTCACACCTAATCTTCGTCATGATTAAGCACTTTTGTTCCATAAAAGTTCTAGCATAAGAGTAATTCGGCTAGTAGATTGTTGGAAAAAAATGTTGAGTAAAAAAAAAAAAAAGCATGCCTTTACTTAGTGAAAACAAAATGGCGTCCAAAAAAAAAACTAGCAGGTTGCTGTAGCAGGGTTGGTCACCAAATTTTCGCCAAGTTACCATAATCCAAAGATTAACCAAAGAAACTACAGTCAAATTTCTGGAGGAATACAATTGCCACAAAATTGCTAAAGGAAACAATTGTTTTAAATCTACTTTTAAAGGCATAATCATGAAATTTTCAACAACACATTATAAAAAGGGAGTCTGAAATTCATTGAGTGTTTTTGGAATAAATAATTAAACAAAAAATATGAATAAAACATGTAGTACATAACAAAGAATTCTCCCTTCCCCCAGAAAAAAAATTATGCCAAAATGGTCGTACTAATCAATCAAACTAGTCAGTTCTCTCAATATAAATTCATATTTTTCATGAGAATTGAATAAGGTAAGCCTGGTATATACAGATCATATTTCAGTATTTTAGATATAAAAACTTATTAAAATGGCATGAAACCTAAATTTTTATTTAAATAAATTCCATCTGAATGCACAATGATGAATGTATGATACAGATCAAAGCATTCCTGTCATAATATATTTTTAAAAACTTTAAAATGGAAAAAATGTTTAAAAAAATGTAAATAAGTCCATATCTTATATTAAATTTCTAATATTGTTAACTAATAAAAAGACACAAACTGAAAAAGGAAAAAAAGTACAATATTAAATTAAAGTCAAAGAAGAAATAGATTTCAAAAACACATTTCAAAAAGACAGTAGATTCATTAAAATGCATTTAAACTTCAAGTACTTTAATTTATTTAAATGGATCTATCAAATCAGACATGACATCAATAAACATACACTCAAACTGATTACTTAAAGGAAAAATTTTTTAATAAATATAAACATATCTAGGTTAATCTTCGGATTATGGTAACTTGGCAAAAATTTGGCAACCAACCCTGCTACAGCAACCAACAATCTGCTAACCGAATTACACTTATGCTAGAACTTTTATGGAACAAAAGTGCTTAATCATGATGAAGATTAGGTGCGAAATTGGGAGAAAGTGCAAAATTGCCCACTGCTTGCCGCGTTTTTAAGAATTGCACATACACACACGGTACTTTTATGGAACAAAAGTGCTTAATCATAACGAAGATTAGGTGCGAAATTGGAAGAAAGTGCAAAATCGACCACTGCTTGCCGCATTTTTAAGAATTGCACATACACAGTATCATCCATGTACACGTCGACCTATTTTTTAAAAAAAATCCCAGAATTGCACAAAAATGGCATTGCGCACACTCTTGACTTTATCCATGTACTCTGACCAAGTCCTAGCTAGTAATCTTTATCGCATTACCAAAATGTCACCAAACTACCTGTTACCATATTCCAAAGATTAGCCCATATCTAATCTAAAAGTAATTTCAAATAAACTACCTAAAATGAAAATTTTCATCCTGCAATACTGAAAACACAAATTTAAAATGAAAAAAAAAACCATGATGTAAATGAGCAAATGGGAAGCAAATCAGAGAATAATCAACATTCTAAAGATTGAACAGCAAAAAAAAAAAAAAAAAAAAAAAGAAAAAGAAAAGGAAAAAAAATTAAATTACAAAAAATTGACAGAATTAAATTGAGAGAAATTGACTGATTAATAGAAAATAAATATACTGATACACACAGGTAAAATATTGATGACAAATGCAATAATTTTGTTACTTCATAAAGTATTTAATTCTCTTTCATGAAAGGATGCGTATTCTTTATTAGATCTGCTCTTCGAAAAAAGAGTCGAAAAATGTGATGGACTGGCACAAAATGAATACCACTCAAAAATGCTAGGAGGCTTTTTTTTTGGGGGGGGGGTTGTATCTGTATGTGCACATATATTAGTTAAAAGAGAAACTACTTTGGGAAACAAATGTGCAAGTAAAGCGTTATTAGCACCATTCAAACATCTGAAAAGATGTAAAATGTATCAACGCCCTCATAATTAATTAAAAGTGGAATGTAATGTATAGTTACTCTGCTGTAGTTTAACCACTACCATTAAGTGTCCCTCACTTTTTTCTGAAAAAATTCTTTGTAGGTAATTATGTTTCTATACTTTCAGTAAATGTTGTGCTGTATAAAATCCTGCCGGTCCGCTTCCAACGATACATATTTTCTTTTTGTCCGAGGAGTTAACGTAATTTCGAAAACAGCTTCTTAAATTTGTTCTTATCATATGAGGAATAACAGTACGCGCTCTCTGCATTTTCACCAACATACAACAAAAAATAAACCTTATTTAGCATCTGTCACAAGACACATCAAAAAGGCTGGTTATTTTGCATCCATTAAGTCTTTTTACTCACTTGGGAAGATGTTTCTGATGTTACTCACTTGGGAAGATTTTTAAAATTTTTAAATTTCATTGATTATTTCTATAAATGGGTTATTTAAACTTCTTAAGATTATCTAACTTTTTTACTTTTTATTTAAGTTTTTCAATGTAAATTATTCACTTTTAATATTTTAGAGATATGAAGCCATATTTGCGACTAATAATTATTCGCATTTCTTAAATAAAATTATCCTAATGATAATCATATTCCCTACTTTTGTTGAGAAATTATTATTTCCCATAACGTTAGCACATTCTGTGTCAAATTGCATTTTGTTTTTTGTATCACTGAAGTTCCCTGTCTGCTCTACTCAGGGGTGTGAAGTTATCACAAACTAGTGTTGAAGCGGAAATATTTTATCTTCGTTTCTTCCTAATTTGGAAATTTTGTTTTCCTTAGAAAGGTAACTTATAGAAAATGCTTTTGAAGTGCTGCTATTTTAAAAATTACTTTAGTTTCTTTATGTTTACGGAACGTTAAGATCTAAGTTAAGCCTACTATTATACACTGCTACAGTGTTTTAAACATATATGTGTATTTGCTGACTTCCTTTACACTCCCAATCTTTAACGGTTTCAGAGTGAGATAATACTTAGCCTTAAATTCAAATTAATCGTGTAATAAATACATGTGTTTCGAGCGAATCTGACACAAGCATCGCACAGTAGCAAAACATTGACTGTTTTTCTGGATTATGTACTCAAGTCAGATTATGTGGAAATGCATGGAGTTGATCTATAAAGCTACCATGAGTCTCAGGCTAGGATTTTTGCCTCATTTCAAAGGTTAAGTCACTGCACTTTCCATCCTCCTTTATCACAGCTGATATTTAAAAATGTTCGTATACATAATGCCAGTTCAACTTTGAATAGTTGACATACGTATATTGTTTTGGCATTAAGATTACTTTTGTGCCATCATCTCTTTCTATGTATATATATACATTTAAGGCATGGTATATTGTGAAATTTGATTGGTATATTGTGAAGTTAAAAATAAGTATAAGAAGTTAATATAATTTCAGTAATGGATCATAATTAATTTTCATCTGGCTTAAAAAGTTATTTCTTGCTACATTTACAGTGTATTTTGAATCAAAAATGAAAAAAGAAACTGTTAAAATTGTATTTTGAAGATTTATTTTGGTTAAATTTAGGATTGTACAGAATTGAGCCTCTTGTAGAGTGACGGAATTAAACATTAGCAAAGGCTTGGTTAAATGTTAAGGTAAAAAAAAAAAAAAAAAAAAAAAGATTATTTTATTAAGAAAAATTGTTATTTTATATTTATTTAATTTCTGGTTCATCTTTTTTTAATGTTCATTGAAATGTTATTTGGCTGTTGTGGAAAAGAGATTGTCTTAGTAATGTTATCTAAGACTTAAAGGTTTACTAATGCTTATACTGCAGTTGGACATATCAGACATTCAAGATTGGGCCAAACAATTTGCGATTTGTAAATATGTGCAGGTAAAATTGTAAATATTCCTCTTTTCCCTGTTTTGTAAACTGCTGTCATTAGATTGATTGATTTTGGATTAACTGCATATTTTGTGCCCCAAGGAGTCTAGTGTCCTTGCATCTTTAATTAATTGAATTATTGGGGCGTCAACTGAACGAGAAAATGCAGATGTTTTAGGAGAGAAATGAACAGCTCCCTTATAATCTAAAATTTATTTTCTGTTTTTTTTTTTTTTTTTTTTAAATTTTGGATTTAAATAAAATATTTCTTTCTTGAAGCTGTACATATCATTAGGTTTGCCATTCTTATCTCTGCTTAATTATAAATGCTAACATTTGCATTTAGTAAAAAGTGATACTGTTTAAACTAAATAGTACTTATGTCTGCAACAACTACCACATTTGATTTCACAAAATAGCTTCAGTGTTCAATCATTTTGCTCCAGATTGTCACGAAGTTATTTTTATCTTATGTGCAACATATGGAAAATTATTAAATTAATATTTGTGGTACTTCTTTGTTATAGCAGCCTCCGAGTTTGAAATGCCTATCATCCAACATATCTTACCCAAATCTGACTGCATGTTCTTATACCTTGCCACGTGGTCATATATTAGCACCAGCTGTATATTCTTATACCTTGCCATGCAATCGTATGTTAGCACCATGTTGCATTTTAGCTCTTGCCGCATGTTCTTATATAATTTATTTTTGATGAAGTTTTTGAATTCACATTGTTTATTTTAAAACATATTTGTTGCTTTTTTATGCTGTATGTGTGTGTATATGACGTTAACAATCTTTAATTTACCAAGTAATGAGGTGAATGCCATATAATTTTTCAAGAAAGGGTTCTTTTACCTGATAAATGAGTATGCAAAAACAGTCACAACATGAAAATTTAATGTTAAGGACAAAACCATTTGGACATGCAGAGTTAAGAATTGCAAAAAGAAGGGCCTCCATGTTGGAAATGGGTTCAATGATTTCAGAATATTGTTTCTCACTGTTACTAGATTTATGTTTTCTTAGGCAGAGGAGTTGATGTCCATCAAATGATGTAACAAACAGCTTAATATGTGTGAAAGGGCTGCATGCGATAAAATAATTTTAATAAGGATAAGCATTCTTTAAAATATTCGGAACTACTCGTATAAACACCATCGCCTGGAGACAAATTTCTCGCCCTCTATGGTGCCATATTACTATCTAAATTTTTTGTCTACATTTTGAACTTTAAGCCAAAATGTCTTCAAAAATGCGGTTTTGAATACACAATTTAATCTAAAAATCTGAAACAAAAACCAAAAATATGTTTTAACTTCAAAAAACATCACAGAATTGCACAATTCTATGCAGCGAAGGAATCTACGAACTACGTACACCTCGCTTTAATAAATTAACATAACAACAATAAATTTCAAGAATACCATGTAAACAGTGTTCTGTTTAAACTTTAAAAAACATCAACGAATTGCATAATCTAGGCATTGCACACTAATCAGCAAAACAAACTAAAATAAATAAATTTCAAACAATTAAAAAAAAATGAGGTTGATCTTTACAATATGGTAACTGGTAGTTTGGCGACATTTTGGAGGCGATAAAGGTTACTACCTGGGACTTTGGTAATAATGTGAGCAGTACTCAGTTCCGATTACGCATTATTTTGTGTGAGGAAAATGAGAGATCATGGGATATGTCATGTGATATTAATGGACGAATTACGGTTCTTTAATCGGAAAAGGTGGGAAATCTGGAAATTTTGTATTTGGCTTTATTCTGTGTTGCGTGAAACAGTGTTCATGAATTTTTGGATCCCATGGCCTTAACTAAAGTGAATTCGAAATGGGTATTTATGTATGTATTAATTTAATGTATGTGCTCATTTATATTTTAAGTAGTGTTTTTGAATTTAATTATATTTTAATTAAATGATAGTTATTTTGTGAATTTATGTTTGTAGGAATTTGGTATACGTTTTAGTTGAAGTAAACGTGCATGGAAATAATTTAAATATCTGACACTAAGTATTTGTAATGGTTGCGGTATGAATTCGTTGGTGACGTGTATAATGTAATAGATGATTTAGAGGTAAAAGTTTTGGATATTTTATTATTTTATATGTGGAAATGTTCATATTTGGAAAGGGTAAATACTTTTTCGCGATCAGGTAATTTCATATTGTTCTTTTTACCGGGTTTAAAGATTGAGAAAAATTGTCATGTAATTTCGTGAAATTTTCTAATTTATGAGAAAAAAGCAGTGTACATGGATATAGTGAAGAGTGTGCGCAATGCCATTTTTGTGCAATTCTGGGATTTTTTTAAGTAAAAATAAGTCGGCGTGTACATGGTTTATGTGTATGTGTTTTTTGAAAAACGCGTAAGGAGTATGGTATGTGCACTTTTTCCCAATTTTGCAGTGAATATTTGTCATGATAAGCAGTTTTTGTTAGATAAAATTTCTAGCATAAGTGTAATTCGGCTAGTAGATTGTTGGAAGAAGTGTTCAGTAGATAAAAAGAAAAGAAACATGTCTTTACTTCGTGAAGACAAAATGGTGGCGGGAAAAAAAATAGAGGGTTGCTGTAGGAGAGTTGGTCGCCAAATTTTCTCCAAAAAAACGCCAAGTTACCATAATGTAAAGATCAACCAAAAAGGGTGACAGAAATTCATACTAAAAAAACAATGAACATAACATTCTACAAAATAAGAACAAAAATAAAATAAAATGCACTTAATATGAATGAATGCTTCTTTGAACAGCAGAAATACCAATTTCAAACATCACCAAAACGATTCCACCACAAATTTGTTAAAAGCATCTTTTCCCGTTTCAGAACAACGATGGGAAAATATATAAACCACCAAATAAAACAGAAAATCGCATTTCCTATTATAAGTAGGCAACATAGCTTTAACATGCCGCCACGCAATCTCTATCGCATTTATATGACAGCCAGACTCACTATCCACAAAACTGGTACTATGTTTCACAAATAAATTTTCAAAATTTTCTTCTCCTGAATAGTTGTAGAATTTCCAGGCACACGACTAAAATTTTGCCAACACTTCTTTCATTGCATCAAAAATCACTTAAATACCTTATACCACACGAAGCAACTAGCAACTGAAACCACTATAGTAAAATCCAAGTTTCCACGTAAACAGGGTTGCCTTAGAAACCAACTTTGCCACCAAAACCATCGCAGAAGACACAATCGCGCCCAAAACCAGTGCAAAACACATATTGCCTTATTTGGCGACCTGAGGGCACATATAAGAGTAGTACCAAATATTCTTAGGAAACGACACGTGAGTATTATTGTATAATGTGTTGTTTATGTTTACATTTATGCTTCAATAGCTTGGTGAAATTATAGCTGAGATCTTGGCATAAATCTGAAATTGCCAATTATAGTTGAGGCTTGCTATATAACACCTACCTAGATTATTATTAAAGTATTTATTTGCAACTCAAAAATATATAATGTAAAGTTAAGGTATAAGCAAACCAATTAAAAACTATTATGAACCATGGAAAAGATCATCCAGTTGATGCCACCAAAAATGATTTTGTAGAGAGACTTGGTTGATTAGACATAGCAAGAATTTTTATTAACCCGTGAGAAAGCACGTGGGGTGTATCATACCCCAACCCTACATAAAAGTAGAATATTCCTAACTTGTGAAACTGAAATTCTGTGCTGTATTCAGTAGCTGAGTTTCTAGTTGTAGTTGACGTTTAGAACCGCTTTTTCTTTGCCTGCATGTTTCAGAAAAAGATTTATCGGTATTTTGTTGAAACCTGGGGTATGACACACCCCATGCGCCTGTCCGCGTAAGTGTTTTTCTGACTGAATATTTAGTTCAGAAATTTATTTGTAGAGTGTAACAATAAATATTTCTACTTGCAAGTGATTTTAAAATACTTGACATTAAATTCTTAAAAATTTCTAACTGCATTATGATAAAAAGAATGACTCCCTATGAATTGGAGATGCAACGCCTGTGAGATTTACTACAAATATTTGAAAGCAATGAAGATTGCATTTCAGAAACTGAAGATGAAACTATAAATATTTTCTACACTGTTTTGGTTTAAGATAAAACATTAATTCCTAATGTTCCTAAAAAAAGGGAAAACTGTTCTTATGCTTATATAACAATCATACTATAGATGATAGTATTGGAGAAAATAAAATTTCAGGAATTATATGTTTTTATAATATGACTAAAGGAGCATTGGATACGGGGGATGAAATGTCAGCCAATTATTCAATTGCCAGAATAACCAGTAGGTGGCCAGTGGTAATTGTCTTTCCTGCATTGAAGGTTGCTGTAATAAATGCTTGAATTATATTACATTCAACCGCTAATCCACCAACCAGAAACAGAAGTCTGTTTTTGAAGGACTTACCATTACAATTAATGAAAAAAAGTATTGAACAAAGAATCAGAGATTAAACTTTACCAAGAAACTGACGTACTGCATGCAAAACAAAAGCAGAACTTTCGACAAAGAATTAAAACGAATACATGAAATTCGAAATAACTAAGTATGAAAGATGTGATAAATTGCCCTCGCGCCAAGGACAGAAGGTAAATGCAATGTTTAAAATGTGAAAACATTCTGTGCCAAGAACACATGAATGTATTTCGTTCAAAGTGTGAAGAAATAAAATAACCATTGTGTATTAGAGATGCAATGAAACTTAGAGGCATGATGTTTATTTTTTTATTAATCTTAACTCTAAGATTATTTTGGAAATTAAGTTTTTGAAACCCAATTATTATTCACGTATTTATAATACACGAGAACAAGAAAAACAGCTTTAAAACTAAATAAAACTATTTTTATCATATTTTAAATATTGGGGTATGTGATACCCCATGCGCCCACTCTAGTAACTTTTCTTGGGGCGACTTCCGCCGGGTTAAACAGTTTCAGCAAATGGAAATATACATAAAGAGCTCTGAAAAATATTTTGACAGGATCTAATAAAACTTCATTTTACCTATTTTTATTAATGAATATCTTAGACCTTTTTCTATGCCTGTTGCATTTGTAATAATTTGTTGTTATTATATGACAGCTTAGAAAATTATATGTTGTAAAAACTGATTTCCGGGTATTATGTTTTGAGATTAATTTTATTGAGAATTTATTTTTTCTTCAAAAACTTTGAGTCCTTTAAAAATTTCAATTTTTTTTAAATAGATGTCTGATGGTGATAAAGTGTCAGATATACATGATGAGGAGGATGTTAATTATAAACCTCCACCTGAGAAGTCATTAAAAGAAATTGTAGAAGCAGACCAAAATGATGCCAGTTTACAGAAATATAAAGAAGCCTTGCTGGGACAAGCGCTTAAAGAACCTGTAATTGTTGGTAAGTCTTGAAACTTTTATATTTCCATGTTCATGCAGTACAGGATTGGCATTTTTCTTCATGTTAGTGGAAGAAATCAATTCTTTAATGTATTTATGTTATGTATGTACTATATTTTATTCCTATGTACTTTTGTTATATTACTAATTTAAATAGTTTCATTTTCTATATAATTTAACTAACCTTAGTTGTATGCTTGCAATTTTCTTTTTGGGTAGTATATATAAGAATATGCATTTCTCTGCACTTGCTATGAAATATTTTTTCCATCTGGGACTTTTAAGTTCATATCAATAACAAAAATAGTAAACTAACATAATTATTTAGAAAAACTAATTTTCAATACTTTTGTTAAGTTTCTCTCTTCCAGGATGGAGGAATTTGAATTATTACAAAATTGAATCTACATCAACAGCAGTATTAACATGCACTAATAGCCTCTGTTTTCATAAACTAACATTCATTAAGATTACATTATTAAAGAAAGTAAGAAAGCAAAATATCTTACGTTATAAGCTAATATGCATCAAATGACAAAAAATCTCAGGTTTAATCCTAGTATCCGGTGCACACGGGATTTGGCTACTTTTGGCGACTTTATGATGAGCAGTAAGGGTCATTTAAAGAATATAGTTATATCTAGTATATATTATGTACGAGGGCCATCCAGGAAGTAGATTACGTTTTCCGTCTGTGTCCGCTAGGGCGGGGCTAGCGCGGCCATCTTGGGGTCAGAAGCGTTGCGCAGCTCAGTCTGCATCTAGCCGTGCTAGTGAGAGGTTCGTGCTGTGCTCCGTTCAGATACTGTGACGGTTTGAAATGTCCTGCGTTAATTGAAAATCCCGCGAGCTGCGAGGTGCGCTCAGTAATAAGGTTTCTGACTGCAAAAAACTGTAAACCGATAGAAATCTATCGGCAGCTTCGTGAAGTGTATGGGGACAACATTATCACTGAAGGTGGAGTGCGTCAGTGGTCATAAGATTTCAAAATGGCCGAACCAATGTTCATGACGAAGATCGAAGTGGGAGACCCAGCATAGTGACGCCGCACTTCTCGAAAAAGTCGATGCTAAAGTCCGTGAAAATCGAAATTTCACAATAACGGAACTTTCTTTGAGTTTTCCACAAATTTCGCGAAGTTTGTTGCACGAAATCATCAGCGAAAAGCTTGGTTACCACAAGTTTTTTGTGCAAGATGGAAGGCATAAGAGGTAACGAAGTGGTTGAAGGCGCAGGCGGCCGAATTTTTCGACGAAGGAATTTCCAAGCTCGTACATCGCTACGATAAATGCCTTAATTTGTATGGTGACTATGTAGAAAAGTAGTATTTGAGTGTGGCTTTCATCTGTATATAATAAAATTTGTTTCCTATACTTTGTTTATTTTTTTATTCCAAAACGTAATCTACTTTCTGGATAGCCCTCGTATATACACACATAATATATATAGTGTATAGTAAGTAGACGTTCTTTGGATCATTTTTGGTGTTGGCGATAATTTTCCAAATCGCTCTAAGGCTGCACCGTATACTAGGATTTTACCAAAATCTCATGACCTGATAAAGCCGGTCATGCCGCTCAGAGAGTTAAATCATAATTTTCCATCGATTTTTTTTTCAAAAAAAATTATTTAATTACTTTGCATTTTATTGCTAAAATTATAAAATTATTATTATTTTTGTATAAATACCATTTTTATTGGTAAATTTATTCCCTTTAGGAGCCCTAAGGGAGCTTTATTATTCATTTCTTCCAGTTTTTTTCCCTTTTCATTCATTTTTTTTTATCCCATCTTCTTCCACTGTTCTGGAAGAAAACCAATCTTGATGCAGCATTTCATTCTATTTTATAACATGTTTGTTTTTAGTGCTTAAAAAATAACTTTATTTTACTGAGTATTCCTTTTGGGGGATCCACCACCGATGTCGCAGTAAAGTTGCTGAATACTGGTAGTTTAGTCTGTGTTTCAAATCTTAGGAAACAGTCTGGCTGCATGGTCGTTTTCATGGTTGTCCTCATATGTACAAGCCAATTTTCCTTAATAAGTCCTCCACAAAGGCACCATCCTCCCCTTGGGCACATAGCCCTCAAGCGTTTTGCGAGAATCAAATAAACCAAATCGATCTTAATTTCTTTTTGCTCTGCTTTTAAAAGTATGAGTTTTGTATTGTTTCGTGTTTTGAATAACTCAATAAAATCAGATGGGGGAAGGCTTTAGGGTATTATGCATAGTTTAAATAGTGATAAAAGGGTAATTAGTTGTCAATTTTTGTTCGGCTTGACATGGTGGTAAATCAGCTGGCTGAGGCCCAAATTCAAATACTAGAGAAGACATTATGATTTTTTATTATCAATCTTCACTTCTCATCAGGGCTATAGAAAGATAGGCTAGTTTATCTCTTTTAGGGAAGCAATGCTTGCATAAACCCTTTTGGGGAGTATGTTGGGTATTATGTTTTTATGTAATATCTCTGTGTTGGAAATAACTTCTCGCCCATTGACCAAAGTTTTGTAGTGTGGAAACTTAATCTTTATTTCCATAGCTTTGGAAAAAAGAGGTTTCTTTTATTTTAAATAAAATTATAGCTGAGGATACTTTTAATTTTATGAAACTACTCTGATATGCACCCTCAAGTCGCCAAATTTCTCACTGCCATATTACTATCTAAATTTTTTGTCTACATTTCGAACTTTTATCCTAAAATGTCTCCAAAAACGCAGTTTTCGCACATGCAAAAGCTATATTTTGAACACACAATTTAAGCTAAAAATCTGAAACAAAAACAAAAAATTTAGATAGCAAAAATGTAAAATTTCTAACCAAAAATTTTTGACAAGAATCCATGTACACAGCGACATGTTTTAACTTAAAAAAACATCTACGAGTGGCACAATGCAGGCAATGAACGAATCTACAAACTACGCACACCTCGCTTTAATAAATTAACTAACAACAATAAATTTCAAAGAATACCATGTACACAGTATCCTGTTTAAACTTTAAAAAACAATCAACGAATTGCACAATTTAGGCAAGGAATGAATATACGATCTACGCACTCCTCGCTTTAATAAAATAACATAACAAATATCAATTTCAAAGAATACCATGTACATAGCATCCTGTTTAAACTTTAAAAAAAATCAACGAATTGCACAATTTAGGCAAGGAACGAATATACGATCTACGCACTCCTCGCTTTAATAAAATAACATAACAACTATCAATTTCAAAGAATACCATGTACACAGCATCCTGTTTAAACTTTAAAAAAAATCAACGAATTGCACAATTTAGGCAAGGAACGAATATACGATCTACGCACTCCTCGCTTTAATAAAATAACATAACAACAATCAATTTCAAATAATACCATGTACACAGCGTTCTGTTTTAACTTTTATTTTATTAAAAAACATCTACGAATTGCATAGTCTAGACACAAAACAACAAAATAAACTAAAATTAATTTCAAACAGTTCAAAAAAAACAACAACGACAGAAATTCATACTAAAGAACCAATGAACATAACATTCTACAAAATAAGAACAAGGATAAAATAAAGTGCACTTACCATGAATTAATGCTTTTTCGAATAGCAGAAATATCAATTTCATACCGCCTTTAACATGCTGCCACGTAATCACTATCGTATTTACATGACAGCCAGACACACTATCCAGAAAATTCATACTATGGTTCACAATAATAAAATCCAAATCCCTACTTCTATCATGCACTGCCATTAAAATAATCTCCCAGACCCTCTTTCCACACTTCCAAATACCCACTACCCCTCAACAGGATAGCCACAATGATATTTCCTTTTGCCGAACTTCAATTCAACAACTACCATTTTATCTTTCCCTCCCATCTTCTCAGACACAGAGGCGAATCAACGAGCTCCAGCGAAAGATTTTTCAACGTCAACAGGGTTGCCATAGAACACGCAATCGCGCCAAAAACCAGCACAGATTACATATCGCCACATTTGGTGAAATTAGGGCGTATATCAGAGTTGTACCAATTTTATATTTAATAAGTATTTATATTGAAAAAAAATAGCATCCTTGTGCCATTGCTACCTGTTGTAATATGTGCCGCAGTACAAGAGAAAAAAGTGTGATGTTTTACCTGTTTTCTGTACAGAAATATTCCAGGTAACGAAAAATGGTTTCCCAGATTAGAAAGAGTAAAAATTTCAGTGTATTGAATTAATGAAACAAATGCAAATTAAATAGTCTCTGGATAACATTTTGAAGTGCATTGTAATCAGATCATGATCTAAAATTATATGACTTCTGGGAAGTAAAAATGTCAAGTGCAAGTACACTGAAATGATGGTGTTCAAAATTCAGCTGCATTCCTGTATTTTAAATATGTTATTACTGGGGAAGAAACCTCTTGAAATGCATCTGAAGAACTAAGATTTTGCGTGTTATGCTTTGAAAATATTCGTATAGTTTCTAGATGTGATTATAGTTCATAATTAAATGAAATATTAGACTCTTAAAAATTCAGTTTCAATTAGTTGGAGAACTAATTTCATACAGAAAACAACATATTTATTGATTTCAATCATTAGATGGATAAAAAGCTTCTGTCTTTGATTCTGATTACTCTTAAATTATCGGAAATCTAAGTCAAAGTAGTTGCATCTTATGTGAAAGCTAGTGTCTTCATACCCATTATTCTCACAACCACATTTTTCATTTAATCATCTCTCCTTTTTTTCTTTCCTATTTCTCTCTCTCTCTCTCTTTTTTAATTTTGTCGCATTTAATATCAAATTTATTTCCTTCATAACAGATCTGTTATGAAATATATATATATATCTATATATTATTTAAGTAAACAATTTAATTAATTGCAATAAATTGCCTAATACTTGCCTAAAGCTGCAAAGTAATAAAATAATTTATTTTCTAGTAGATTGTTCAGTATATTTTCTCCTTTGACAAAAGTAGTTTGAATTTCTATTGAAATGAAGTAACTCATTAGCATATATAAAAAAATGAATCTTGATTAAATTTAAGATGAAAACCTTAAAAAGGTACAATTAAAAGTGAAAACGTAATTAATAAACCAAGTAATTATCATTACTGATCGGAAATTAGTTGACTTTTTAAGGGGAACAAACTAACTTCTAATCAGTTAACAACAATTAATAAATGTGAAAATTTCAGCTTTATAAATGCATATCTATATTCATGTTAAATTTTCCAGTTTGTATGTATGCTCTTTTCTTACAAACCTATAAACACAGACTAGAATCCTTCACATTATCAAGATTATGCGAGGCTATCATCTGAATTGTTTCATTTAGTTTTATTCAGCAAACATTAAAAAATCTTTATTTTGTATGTGTAAAAATAATGTAGTACAGACAGAGTTAAAATATGATAGTTGTATATTTCAAGTGCTGTATTGTTTTCATGTAGAACCTGATAATCCCAATCGAGTTCTGGTGAAAAGACTGGCTTTAGTTGTGGAAGGTCGTCCAGATGTTGTTTTAGATCTGACTGGTAAGACATAGTTTTTGAACAAAGTATACAAATTTTATCAAATTTAAATGGAAAACGTGATGTATTTTATATACAAAGTATGCAGCATTTCATCACTTTTAGAATTGCTTAAAAGAGGAGCATACCAATTTGAAGGATGAATTAAACTCAAACTTGATGACTTTGATCATATAGGAGAGTTGTAAGCATTTTGAGGGTAAGAGATACTGTTTTTCAAAAGGGGGAATATTATTCTGCTTCCTTTAGCATAAATTTATTTTACTAGCAATCAGATTTTAACATACCATGTTTACATTATTTATATTTAAAATGCTACAAACAGTTTAGTTACAGTATTTTTAGAAAGTTGGTTAATACAGTCAAAAGTTGTTAATTCGGACACCCATAATCCGGACCTCAAAGCTAAAAACTTTCTGTGCATGCGTAGCGTTCACGCATGCGCATAGGCGTTTACGCGTGCGCGTAAGACCTTTACGGCTACGTGATGCTAAAGCAAAGTTTAAAGTTTAAAGAAATTAAACATTTAGCAGTGGTAGCAATGAAAGCTCCCTGAGTTATGTTGTGCAGACATTGAAGACAATAAAAGATTTCTGAACTTAACCAATTTATTAACAATATAATAAAAAATAAAAACACATAAAATAAATGTCAACAATATTAGAGTATTAGGAAAAACACAACATAATCATCATTCAATATTTTTACCTGTACTCCAAAACACTGGCATTCTATACAAACAAAAACAAAAAAAAATGAAAATGTCCTAAATAGTGACTATGCAGCCTAAAAATAAAGCAGGCTACCCATTCAATAAGTCCATAATCAATGGTCAAGAAAACACCTGAAAAATTTAAATGTGAAACCACTTAAAACCGGCCTAACTTCGTTTGCACAAGGAGTCGTCGCCGCTCACGTATTTTTAATTCCGTCCTCATTGAAGAAACATGGACGCCGCCCACGGCAGTCACTCACAGGATAGCCCCCGGAACCGAAGAACTTCAATCTGGAACCATCATCTCGCAAACTGGAATCAAGGCATCCTTTCACCGGACTGCATGCATCCTTTTGAAGGGGCTGGAAACCGCTCACACACCAGCCGGGAAACCAGGAACTAGAAGGGTTGAGCCAGAGCGACGCGAGATACTTATAGCAGAATTAGGAATGACGTCATCTCACGGCAACCAATCAGCTATCGGCACGAATCGGCTTTTCAGATGATATAACATGATGTTTCGTTTCTGCATCTCAATTAGGTTGAAACAGTCCGTTCTCAATGCAAACAGTGGCAGCAAGAAAAAGAAGTAGAAGTAACTACTATATTATATTAAAATAAGGACTAAACTAAATAAACATTTCAAGGAGGAGAGATGATGCATTAAAAGGTTTAAAAATAAGCTATATTTTCCAACACTACGAATATATACATGTGCGCATGCGCATAATACGTTTATGCTTGCGCGTTTAATGTATAACTGACAGTATAAGCTAAAACTATCTAATTATCTATTTCAGTTAATGTTGCAGATTGCGTTGTTCCTTAATCTTCGAATTGGGTCCGGCTTATTATTTTTTGCAGACTGTTAGAGCAATTTTATAAAAGTAAGCTTGTATTTTCGATTATGTCAAATAGAATTTCCGATATATATTTACTAATATGTAAATTATCTACAAAGAATGATCTTAAAAGAGTGATCTTAAAAGTAGAATGGTAGAATGAGTAAAAGTAGAATGATCTTAAAAGAGTGAATCCATACTAGTAAGTTATACAGTCAAAAGTCGTTAATTCGGACACCCATAATCCGGACCTCAAAGCTACAAACTTTCTGCGCATGCGTCGTTTTGACGCATGCGTATAGGCGTTTAAGCGTGCACGTAAGACCTTTACGGCTTCGAATATGAGCGTGTGCATGCGCATAATACGTTTACGCATGCACGTTTAATGTATAACAGACGGTATAAGCTAAGCTAAAATTATCTAATTCAGTTAATGTTGCAGATTGCGTTGTTCCTCAATCTTCGAATTAGGTCCGGCTTATTATTTTTTGCAGACTGTTAGAGCAATTTTATAAAAGTAAGCTTGAACTTCCGATTATGTCAAATAGAATATCCGATATATATTTACTAATATGTAAAGGATCTACAAAGCGAAAGTATGTTTTGAAGTCCATTAAACAGAAAGTGGAATTGCTGCAAAAAAGTGGATAAAGGCATATCCTTTGATTATCTAATCATTCCGAAATATGTTTATCAATTTCACGCTGCTCTGCGGGGGGCGGGGGGGGGGGAGAGAAACGACATGGCGAGCAATGAATTGGAAGTTGATCTGTCAGCACTATCCTTATCTTCAGGGCAGATGTTTTTATTTTATTTGGCTTATAATTCTTTACTAAATGTAGTATTTCATCTCAATGTACTCGGTCTTTGATATGATTTAAATCAAATTCCTCGTCATTAAAATTCGCTTCCGATAGTGAAGAAAGTGACATAGAGGTTATTCAAAACGAAAAAATTTCGATTGACAAATTAGTCGGTATTCTCGACACAGCAATTATAGGACTTGAGCAGCGGAACTTGTAACTGAACAAGAAGTTATGTCTGTTTATAGAATTAAAGAGAAAGTATTATCACATAAAACGAAGCAACTTAAACAACTTACATTGAAAGAAATGTTTAATAAAGTAAACAAATAAATATTAAGCTTTTTTTTTTTTTTTTTTTTTTTTTTTTGTAAATTTTGATACCCTTTAGATCATAATTGCTCTTTATTTCATAAATTATGGTTTCTAATCCCGAAAAATCGATAATCCGGAATCACCGAAGTCCCGACGAGTCCGGATTAACGACTTTTGACTACTGTACTTCTTTTTCTTTGTCTGTTGATTCATTAAATTTGAGAAAATGAAAATATGACTCATATTTTGGACAGTTGTTACAAAATCTTAACCTGCATTTTGAAAATGACATGAAAGTTAAATTCTTTATATAAAGTTAATTAAAAAAAAAGTCTTATTAGATGGGTTTAAATTTTGTTTGATATTATAAGGGTTTTGAAATAATTCCAAACTTCATATACTATGCAGCTATAAATGCAAAATGAATTAAATTAGTCTGTACCCATGTAAGAAAATAATGATTCTCAGTGAAATAAAGTTCTCAAACAGAAAATGATTAAATCCCAAATAAAAGAAAATATGAAGACTATTTTGAATACATTTGTAAATGTTACTTGCTTAGAAAGAAATGTTTATTTAAATAATGTAGAAAATATTCTTGTGTGCGTACAGGTTCGTAATAGACTGAATGCCCAAGTCCGATAAAAAGTTAATAAAATTTATTCTTATCACAAGAAATATAACAAAGCTGGAATTTTTCTCTGAGATATTCTTACAAGTGTTCACAATATCAGGCACTAATAATTTGTAGAATGCAAATACGTTAAATAGAACGCTATATCAAATAGCTATACTTTAAACTACTAGAAAGTTAAAATATAACGCAGTTCAAAGAGAGAGAGAAAGCTAATTCAGTTCTTGCGGATCTAAAACAAATCGAAATAACAGTAGCCAAGCAACTGAGCTGATATGTTTCTGTCCAGCTTTTAAAAGCTTTCAATCAGTCATGAGAGAGTTCTAGTAATTTCTTTGCTTCTCAAGATTTTTGGAAAGTAAAAGAGTAAATTACAGTTACAGCTAACACAGTAGTCAATTATATTTATTCAATTTAAATATAAATAAAAGATATAGCCATTTATTCAATGTTAAGTGCACATGCTTTTATATTTTTGCTTTTATAGGTGATCTTGATGCATTAAAGAAGAGAGTTTTTGTGGTGAAAGAAGGTATACAGTACCGCATTCGAATAGACTTCTATGTTCAGAGGGAAATAGTGACTGGTCTAAAATACATTCAGAAAGTTTTGCGGCATGGCATACAAAGTATGTGATTTATTAATATGAAAAGATAGACATTTCTTTAAACAAGTAATAATGGAATTCTTTAAAATTATGTGTGTTGAAATGTGAACCTTTTAGTCTGTTTTTCTCTTGATAAAAATAGGTATACTTTTTATTTTTACAGTATGTTAATTTTTATTTTTCATCTAATTCCATTATATTTACAGTCGTACCTCTCAATAAGGGACACCCACAAGACCAGATGTTTTGTCCCGTAAATAGAGATGTCCTTTGTTAAGAGGTAAATACATGCCTAATTCAGAGGGGTTGGGACCAACAGAATTAACCCTTAAATAGAGGTGTCTGTTACAAGAGGTATAACTGTATTTATTAAAAAGTGTAATTAAAAAAAAATCGGGAGAAAAATTACGTTGTAATTAGTTGGTATGCGTTCATCGTGTTACACATTTCAATAGGCATAGAATAGAATTATTTAATTAAGCACTGTATGCATTAAAAGCAACTATCATTTCTGTTATTCGGACTGGATTCAGAAATGTGTGTATGTATTTATATGTGCATTGTATGCACCACACACATACATTTCTGAATCTGGTCTAGATAACAGAAAAGTACTGCAGTTATTGCTGATATTGCAATAGAAGAATCTTTGTGCCCTATATTGAACTCCGGAGCAGTTTCATTGTTTTATTGTCATCATCATTATTATTATTTAATAATATCCTAAAGGCATTCATTCCCAACCCCCCCCTTCTTGCCGTATGACAAACATTCTTGGGACGTTTTATTAGATCCAAAAAGCTTTTACTAGAGCATATTTAAAAATTATAGTTCTTTAAATTCAAAATCAAAAGGGGATTTAGAATATTTTTGATTGCCCCTTCCAATCCACTTAGTACTAAGATATAAAGGGGGAAACTTTTTACAAATTTTAAATTGAATCTGTAGTATGAAAATGCTGCAATATTTAGATTTTGTAAATGCACATAAGTAAGGCCTTAGTGTAGCTGGATTCTAATTTAAAAATAACGTTGCTTGATATTATTTTGTGCGTAAATATTTCTTAAACTAAAATGTTAACATATTTTGTGTTATAATTAATGTATTGAAATAAAGATAGGCTAATTTCTTATGTCACCTCACAGTTTCATTTAAGCTACTACTTTTATTTTAAATTATTGTAACTTTGGAAAGAATTACTCGAATTTTGTTTGAAAATTTCGCAAATTATTTTTATACCGAAAATTCAAATTCAGTTCTTTGATCAGCATTTATATTTCCTTATTGCTTAACCTTATTAATATCAGAAACTTATTCTAAAATGATTGTTCATTTTTAATTTTAATTATGTTCAAATGTAAGCATTTTGCTCTTCCATTTGTCTATGACCTTTGAACGTGATGTCAAACTTGAATATCTCAGTAAATGTTTGTCATATGGGAGTCCAACATTTTCTTTTTTGTTTTAGAATGACCATAAAATCTTATTAACCCTCTGAATGGTGCTGGTTTTGGGATCTGTCATCAAAATCTGTATTTAAACAGCATTTATTAGCTAAATATATATGATTATTTACTATAGTCTCAATTTTTAGGAACTTGCATTCATTAAAATGACATTTATATTATTAATGTAAGAAAGCAAAAAATCTTAAATTATAAGGTAATATGTACCAGATGATAAAAAATCGCATGACCAGATAAAGCTGGTCATGGTGCTCAGAGAGTTAAATATAACTATGAAGAAGGAATGCCGTATAAAAAATTGTATTTTATAATTTTTAACGAATTGATAAAGTCAGTTTTGCTGTAATAATTTGGGGGGTAAAGAATTTTTGTAACTGAAATTATATATGTATGATCAAAATGGAATGAAAATAAGTGCCAGGTATGGATTTCTATATGTGCAGGTGTGTTTAACCTGTTGTAAAAGGCCGCCATGTATATATGGCAGAACAGATGTTACGTATATATAACAGAAGAAAAAGACTTGGCAACTTTCCTTCATAAATCCTGCCCCGTCTAGTTGAAAAAAAAATATGAAAGCAATTTCTACTCCCTTCCCTTTTTTTAAAGGGTTTTCTCAAGAAATAGCAGGCTTGTCTAATCTTTGGAATATGGTAACAGGTAGCTTGGCGACATTTTGGTAGGCGATAAAGGTTACTACCTAGGACCTTGGGAATAATGTGAGAAGTACTCAGTTCCGATTACGCATTATTTTGTGTGAGGGAAATGAGAGATCATGAGATATATCATGTGACATTAATGGACGAATTACAGTTCTTTAATCGGAAAAGGGGGGAAATCTGGAAAAAATCTGGAAATTTTGTATTTAGCTTTATTCTGTGTTGTGTGAAACAGTGTTGGTTAATTTTTGGATCCCATGGCCCTATCTAAAGTGAATTCGAAATGGGTATTTAGTGGGATTGAAAGGGGTAGTAATAAGTGTTTTTTTAAGGTTGTGCGAGATAGAAGTAAAGATTGCTTATTAAGTTTTATTATTTATTCTACCTGGTACAATAATAATATCTGATTGCTGAAAGTCATAAGTCTGTTTGGAGGATGAAGGTTTTCAACATCTTGCTGTGAATAAAAAAGTATGACTTTAAAGATCCTGAAACAGGCGCACATACGATTGCTTTTTATTTAGCGGAGGAAATAAGAAAAGTTTATCCGCCACGTAATCAAGATTCTGAAGAAGATTAGGTAAGTTAGTATTTTTAATTATTTGAGGATATTATTTTTATGCATTGTTCTAAATGTAAGGAGTAAATAAATTAATATGGTATTATTGGAAAATTGTTATTAGCAATGATTTAGTTTAAAGTAATTAGGATTGTAAGCTAATTTTTATTAATTTAATGTATGTGCTTATTTATATTTAAGTAGTGTTTTTTAATTTAATTATATTTTAATTAAATGATAGTTATTTTGTGAATTATAGCAATTTGGTATATGTTTCAGTGGAAGTAACTGTGCGTGGAAATAATTTAAATATTTGACACTAAGTATTTGCAACCATTTTTAATGTTTGCGTTATAAATTCGTTGGTGACGTTTATAATAGATAATTTAGAGGTAAAAGTTTTTGGATATTTTATTTATTTTATACGTGCAAATGTTCATCTTTGGAAAGGGTATATAATTTTTCGCGATCAGGTAATTTCATATATGTCCTTTTTACCGAGTTTAAAGATTCACAAAAATTTTCCTGCATTTTCGTGCAAATTTTTGTAATTTATGAGAAAATAGTAGTGTAGATGGATAAAGTCAAGAGTGTGCGCAATGCCATTTTTGTGCAGATGTTTTTTTAAGTAAAAATAAGTCAACATGTACATGGTTACTGTGTATGTGCGATTCTGAAAAACGCGGCAAGGAGTTTGCGATTCTGCACTTTTCCCAATTTTGCAGTTAATATTTGTCATGATTAAGCAGTTTTGTTCCATAAAATTTCTAGTATAAGTGTAATTTGGCTAGCAGATTGTTGGGAAAAGTGTTGAGTAAATAAAAAGAAAAGAAACGTGCCTTTACTTTGTGAAGACAAAATGGCGGCGGGAAAAAAAAAATAGGGTTGCTGTAGCAGAGTTTGTCGCCAAAAAATCGCCAAGTTACCATAATCCAAAGATTAACCGCAGGCTTATTCAAAGTGATTGACGTGCCTTCAGATGAACAATATGTATTAGCAATAATAAAATTTAAAGGGAAATATGTGAGTTGTAGGATATTCTTGAACTGTTGATATAAAATGCAACCAATTGATTCTTGTTTCATAAAATATAGAGCATTTGCATTTATACTCTTCTTTTTGGAATCAGCTTTCCCAACAGTTTAACTAGTATTCTGTTTTATGAGGGTGATGGTGCAAATGTATGCATATTCTAAATTTTTTATTTACTTGTAGAGACATTAAGTTAATTGGAAAAGTCAGAGAGATGAAAAATTAGCAGCTGCCTTCGCCGGAAATCGAACCACGGACCTCTAAAATACCGGCTCAGTGTGCTAACCACTACATCATGAAGGCACGCTAGGAAGGCGGGAGAAATACCTTATATACTTATTTATGTATTTTTACAAACAATGTATAGTTTTGATTTGGACTGAAATAAATTTTTTATGGAGTTACCTTAAAAGCAAATATGTCAAATGCAGTATCTCAAATGGGCCAAATAATAATTAGTGTACAGTAGCATGAAAGAGAAAAGTTACTTGATGTTTTTAGAAAGATAATATATGTGCAAAATCTTACCTAATGCTGGACTTTAAAATTTAAAAAAAAAAAAAAAAAAAAAAAAAAAATGGAAGGAACGTAAAGGAAACCTGGATAGTAGATGGATGCATTGTAGACTTTTACTTTATTTTTCTAAATAGTTTATTTATAGTTATTTTTATTTTGGGACTGGCCCTTCCTTATGTTTCCCCAGAATGATTTTTGCAAGTAAGGAAGAAACAAGTATTTAAGCTGAAGTCTGGTTAGGAGCAGGGCTGTGGAGTCGGTAGGGAAAATGACAGACTCCGACTCAGACTTCGACTCCTGAAATTTTAAAGACTCCGACTCCCTCATATATATATGTAAACATATATACATGGGTTAGAGCTTATTTTTTTAATATAAAAGAAGTAATAGATGCTACAGGAAAAAAATTGATGGCATAGCAAATTATTTATATTATTAGCATTTATTATAAAATGGAAAACTGGCATTGGTTATTTCTAAGAAACAGTGTAGCTTTGGCAAGATCTTCTTTGTTGGAGGGCCATAGATCCGATTTGATAAACTTCAGAACTGAAAAGAGTCTTTCCAAACTTGAGTAGTAGGAAGAGCTGTTGCTGTTAGGGCTACTTTTTAACTTTTCAGGATAGATATTTAGAAGTTCTAAAAGAGGTGTCTTGCAAGCGCAATGATATTTCTCTATTTCTTCAAAGGCCGTGTAGAAATCCTGTTTGTATTTTTTCACTTTTATATCTAAAGGCTCTTGGTTCTTTATTTTCATTCGCTTTGCCTTAGCCTTTTCAGTATTATTCAAAAATATTTAAAATCTAATTCATCACTGGAAGAGGATGATGGAGACTCGATTGCAGTGTCTGCAGTTTGACTATCCTGATTCGAATTCTCCAATTGTACTGAGAATAATTTCATTCTTAATGAAAGTTCATAGATGGCTTTCTTTGCCTTTTTAATTTGTTCGTCATCCAAGCAGCAATTCTACTTTTTGTTTAATGGACATCGAAGCATGCTTTCGCTTTGTAGATCCTGTTGCAGCTCCAGAATTAAAAGCTCTTTTTGACTTAATCGAAAGTTCAAGCTTTAATTTTTATAAAATTTCTCTAATAATAACACCCTGTACAAAATAATAAGCTGAGAGGAACAGTGCAATCTGCTGTATTAACTGAAATTCCTTAGAATAAGTAAAGTATAATTTTAGCCTAGCTTAATCATGTCCTCTATACATTATTGGCTATGTATTTATGAGATTGGCAATGTCTTGCTTCTGTCGCATACTGAGAAAATTAAGCTTGAAAATGTATTAGTTTAGTTATTATACCTACATCTATTTCTTGCACATGCTTAAGGCTAATCTGAGTCCTGAATAAATAAACTCCCACATATACTTAAGGCTTATCGAGGGCTGGTGCTAGATACCACCTGACGCAGTCTCTGCAGGTCCTAAGTTCTGCTCCAAAGTGTCTCCCTAAGTTTTAAATTTTTGCTGCTCCTAAACTTTCGATCCCAGTGCTTTCCCTAAATTATAAAAAATTTTGTCTTTCCTAAATTCTGCCGCCCAGTGCGGCCATACAGCCTCTGACGCTGGTTCCGAGTTTATGTGAATAACATATCAGTTATTTTTAATTCAAATAGCACTAAATGTAATCTTTTGGAATGTGATTTTCATTAACAAAATCTATTTTTAGCTTAGAAAAGAAATATTTGTTAAATTTTTCCTGGTCAACATTTCTCAGCTCATTTAACTTAAATTTGTAATCATCGCCAAGCATAATGTCAGCATAAAAGGCTGCCATTGTTATTCAATTACTATTATAAGCAAAAATTGTTTAGACATTACTGCATGAGCCATTATTCAAGTTATCATGTGTTGGTAAACACGCGGTGATGAAAGCAAAAGATAATAATGAAGAATGATTTGCCATGTTTGGCATAAAGGATATAAAATAGTAAAATCAACGATGTTCCTATGTTGAATGTTTCAGTGTGAGATCGCCAAGCAGATACACGGCTACAGAGCCAAATTATTGGTCTCACTAAGTTATGCAAAATTAATTGTTTCTTCAATAATGAGGTATTTTATTTAGTGCCTAAGTGAAATTAAGAATTGGGACTCTCTATGTTTTATTATGGGAGGGAAAAATGCGCATGCATAAAGCTTACCAAAAAAAAAAAAAAAAAGTTGTTTGTGGCTTTGGAGTTCAGATTTTAGATCATTCTTGGTATTGGATGTCCAGATCTTGGACTTTGTACTGTAGTATCCTTTTGTGACTAATAATTGGAGAATGACTATTTTATTATGGAAGGGGAAAAAAATCAAATGTGCATGCGTAAAGCATAGAAAAAAAGTTGTTTGTGGCTTTAAGGTCCAGATTTTAGATCATGGACATCCAGATCTTGGACTTCGTGCTGTAGTATCCTTTTGCCGGGCTGGGACTGTGGGGTTTGTGCCCGCGAGGATGAGGTTCTATGGACGTTGGATATCTAAACTCTGTATGAGTCCTCTAGAATATGGACCTGGGTCGGAGATCTTTCGTCTGGAGTGTCTGTAGTATCCTTTTGTAACTAATAATTGGAGATTGACTATATGAGGACAGGTAACATTCAGTCTTACAAATGCTTTGTGCTTTAGGGAAAAAAAGAATCCCAAGAAGTGTGAAAATCTTTTTAATTCCATTATTATAAATATATCCTAAGAACTGAATGTCCAGTTTTTTTTTTTTTTTTTTTTAAACCAAACAGTATTCTGTTCTAACTAGTCTGCAAAATATGCTAATTTATTACTGTTCATGTACTATCTCATGCGCTGAACTGGGTTAGGATTTGTTTTTGTCCGAATGTCCAATTTGTAATGTTATCAACCTGAAGCTTCATATCCTTTATCCTTTTTTTATTTACATAAAAGGAAGAAGCTAATGAGTGGTTGTATTCTAGGACTTAAAGTTTGGAATGCAAGTACAAAGAATATCAGTCTGAGAAATTCCAAAAACTAGTCATTCTTATGGGGAAAACTATGCAAGTAGATAAGTTTCTAAATCAGATACTAAAAAGCTAAAGGGGAGTTACAAAGGGACAAGTACAGTATTTACTTGGCATGGGTGTAAAAATGAAGCATATCAAAATATGGTCCATTTTTGTAAATAAGTCTATAAAACTCATTCCCTGTATTGAACTTGTTTTAGGTATTCTTCACACTGATCTTCCCTGAATTGTAACCTGCATATTTTGTTAACTTACTAAATTTCTTTACTATTTTATAACATAATTTGTCTTTTTTTAGATGAGAAACTTACTCACATGGTTGGAAGCTATGCACCAAAATTAGAGATGCAGTCATACTTTACACCATTGGATGAAATGCCAAGTGGGTTATTAACTAGAGGAACTTATACTGTGAAATCTTTATTTACAGATGACGACAAGAATGAACATCTGAAATGGGAATGGTCTTTTGAGCTTAAAAAGGACTGGGAATGAACTATAAATGTTTACTCTTTTTTTTTTTTTTTCCCCTTGTACAGACCTAACAACCTTGAATTTCTTCTTAGAAATCCGTGTATATTCAATATTACAGGAAAAAATTGTAAACTTTTCTTATTGGATATTTGATAAATCAAACAAATGTACAGTTAAAATAAGTTTAAAAATGAATCAAAAGCACTTCTGATCATCTATGCATCTGCTTAAAATCAAATTATTGGTATTTTCATATTTTACAAGATCTGTTCCTTGTTCGCCTTCAGTTTTTATTAGTATTGGAAGTGATGTAGATTTATTTGTTTCTTTTTACATTTGAAAGATTTATCCAGTTTTCTAAGGGTAATTGTAATGCCCTGTTAAGTCTCATGCATATCATCCATTTGCTGAAGCAGGATTATTTGGCAATCAAGATTAGTTTTTATGTGCCTTAGATAGTATATATAATGCTTAGACATTATGTGGAAAAAGTTTCTATTTGCTTAATGCTGTGTTGAAAAAGATATTGAAAGTTACACAGTTGCTCATGGAAAGATTTTTTGTAAATTATGTTTGAGACTTTTCTCAAACATGTAAAACACTAAATATTTTTGTACATTTTGCAATTACGCCTTGCCTTGCATTGCAAAATTTATATAAATAAAACTTTAAAATATTTAATTCTGCACTCTGTTTTCAGTTTTTACTTTACTGTTATATTTCAAAAGATTTCAATTTAGCATCATAATTATATGTGCAATGTTTTCCTAATTGCATTGAGTGCAATTTGTAGAAAACGTTTATACCCAGTGTTGCACTGGAGAAATTCAGCAATGTTACTCATCAATGTAAACTTATTTTTATTGACTGCGACATTTTGTACTATTTGCTAGTAATAAATGAGTGAATATTTTGCCTTAATTTTTTCCTTAAACATTAGCGTAGTCCTTTGCTTTGACAATGTAGAATAGAAATACAATGTAATAAAAGTAGTTTTTATTTATTTATTCACAAAATTTTAATGTAAAGATACAGCTGTCAAGAAAATATTAAAACAAATATCCCCCCACCATTCAGTTTGAAGTTGTAATTTAGAAAATTAACTTCTGAGAATAAGCACTTTTCTGTGAACTTTCAAATCAGAGATCACTGAAAAAAAAAACAATAATTTTTTAATGGCATGCTCTGCATTTTATTAATTTGATTAAACATTTATTTCCACATTATGTCATGTGAGTTTGTTAAAAGTTTAAATGTTGATTTAAATTGTAAAGATAATAAAATATTAAATTTAAAAAATATATTGTAACATGATTATATATTTTGTATGTTTAGGTTGAAAATTTAATTCAGATTTCGATATCAAAAAGAAGGTATCCTCCAACAATGTCACTGCATTAAAAAAAAAAATTAATTCCGAATTTATTATACAACTGTCTAGAATAAAATTATAGTTTTATTTTTAAAGCACTGAAAATCAATACTTTTGTCATTTTTATAAATTTCACTGCTCTATGAGTGGAAACATTTAGTCATTAGTATAAATTTCTGTCAGTTATGAAAGCATTGGTATGACATAATTAATTAAATAAAAGGGTTTGCAACGTATACTATTCAAATAAATTCTAGTGTTGAAGGTACTAATATATTTGCCAAATTAAAACCAATGTAGTTAACTGTAAAAAGCCAATCATTGTAGCTTCTGTTTTTCTAACTGCATATATATACTAATACACTTATTAATTTGTCTCAGGCTCTCATGCTAAAGCAAAAATATAACTAGTATAACAATTCATGTAAGAAAAATATATTACAGTATTAAAAGTGTTATAAATTATGCACACAATATCTGTAAATTACAAAAAGATGAATAATATTTTCTTAATGAAAACAAGGGATATTCCGGAGTAAAAAAAAAAACGTATAAAATCTTTCATTAGTAAAACCGATTCAAATTTTAAAAAAGTAAATAAAAAATGAGTCACACACACATATAAAAAGCAATAATATATTGTTCATTATTCCAAAATATAATGTTCATTATTTCAAATTAACTTTAATAACTGTCTCATGGAGTTATTGTCATTTGAAAGATGTCCCCTTACTTTTTTCTGAAAGTGAATCTAAGTCTACCTGTTTTATCATGGACAGCTATCTTTGAAAGATGAATTGTTAAGATATTAAAACAATAATACTGCTTTTGTGTATATTAGGTTGGCTGATTATATTCCTTTATGTGTATTCTGTGATCTTGGTTTTATTACTAGAAACTGTTCATTTTGAGATATCTGACTGTTAGAAAATACAATATTTAACATAATCTGAAATATATTTGATCAACCTTAAAACACAATTACCTTTCAGCAGTTGTATCTCAACAGTGTATCATAAGTCATGTATGTACTATGTAATTAATGATATAGAAATTCAGTTATCAGTTTTAATAAAACTAAATCAAATAATTATACCAAGGTATAATCCCCTTAAATCATATTTAATGCATTACTTATGTTTACATCAAAAATAGATTGCTATAGAGCAATGGACGTAACATTATCCCATGAAAGGAAAATGGAATTAAAAAAATAGTTTCTAATCATGTATTGGTAAGTTAAGCTAGCAAAACAATAAATTATACAATACTAATTTTACCAATATAGTTAACACAAATCAACTCATTAGTATATGCACAGAAATAGAAAATTACAAATATTTTCAATTTCTTTAAGATTGTGTTTAAATTTTAAAAAAAAGTAAATTTCAGATTTAAAATAGTTACCTGTCATCTTCAAGTTTTCGAAGTTTTCCTAAGCTCTTTAACTCAACCAGTTTTTTCTTATATGCAGATCGCCAATTCCTGATGATAACTAATAAACTTTCTTTAAAAGGTGTAACATCCAGTGCCAGCCATAAGTCTATCTGAATGTCTGGATTTATATCATCTACTTTCCTTTGAAGCAAATCAAATTGAGCTATCTGACAAACATAGGGACGGAAAGAATTTTTATTGCTGGAAATTGAAAATAAGAAAATATTTTTTCCACTACTGGCAATTAAAATTGCTACACCAAGCCTGTAGCATGCCACACATGTGTGAAACTTGCATGACAGATAGAACAGGCTGTGATTTGCAAATGATTAGATTTTCAGTGCATTCTTGCAAAGCAGATGGCAGTAGTGTTGCGTATAGAATGTGAGATTTGACAGCAGTCATCTCATACTCGGTTTGCATTTGGACTTTGTTTTTGGCTAAGAAAGTTGTTGTAATACTGCCTGTAAGAAGGGAAAAGGCTGTCAGCACACGATTTAATCAAGGAAGGATTATAGCCTAATGGGATTGTGGTTCGCATAAGTTGAGATGCCATGACCGTTGATGGATTCAGGACAGTCATACAGAATGCCATGCAGGATCTCAGCGGACCCCCATCATTAACAACCGAGAAGACCAACATCTTATCTGCATGGCCACAAGGGATTGTACAGCCATATCATGAACCCCAAGTAAAAAAATGGAGTCATTTGCAAAACAAGTTTCTCCTTAAATACTTTGGCAACATTTGCAGCAGCATCGTGACCATGGCTTTGGCTACCCTGTGATGCTGCGTCACAGATAACCTGTGAGTGCCTTCACTGGTGTGATCGATGAAGAACCTGGATACAGGAAGGCATCATGTCATTTTTAGAAATGAATTCTGGTTCTGTATACGGTACCATGATGGCCACATTTGTTCAACTGAAAACATGTGATCAATGGTTGCTGAGCGATTGGCACACTACCACTCACCATCCACTACTGTCACTGAACTGTGGCATACATAGTGTTGAAGCTGCATGGACTGTGGTCCCCATGCATGCCATGAAATCTCCGTTTTACTTCATGCCAAGGCAAATAAATGCTGTTTATTGCTGGCAGAGGTGGCTATTCTGGGTACTGATTTCTCAAGTTCTATATGTCCTAAAATCCTATAAATTTTATCACTCTCTCATTCCATTAAAATGTGCCCAATGAATATCATTCTGTTATCTGTATTCCATCCTGGTGTAGCAATTTTCATGGTCAGTAGTGTAAAAATAGATTCACGTGTACAGAATCTTTATGATTGTAATTATCTGTAGAAGCTGATTTAACGTATAATATTATAGTTAATTTTATAATAAGTTAATAAAAGTCTGAGTATGATTCAGATTTAAAACAAAATGTCTAAAATTCTCAAATTATCTTTTTTAAGTAATATTTTTAATGTGAATTATATTTATTCAGCATTCATTCCTGTTTTTCTAAACGTCAGATACAAACTTTAGAGCTTTGTTTAGAGAGGCTAATAACAACTGCTTTTTAGAAATTGTTTAGTCAAAATCTTTTTTGGGGGGTGGGGGTATTACTTGTTTGACGAAATGAAGCTCTAGGGGGGGGAAACTATACTGAAATCCTTCTGTGAGTAATATTTAGAAAAGCATAATTAAACAATGATTTTGAACATAATCAACAATCTGTAAGGCAAACACTTCTACAAGAAATTATTATTAAATTATATTTGCAAGGCATATTATGTTTAATAAAGCATTGATATTTCCTCAATTATTGCTCCTTAAAGTTAAGTTTCCAAAATAATATTCTTAAGGAATATTAAAATTTCAGTTGATGGAATTGTGAGAATTTTTAAATTGAATTTGGAAAGTTTAGTATTACCTGTATAATAGGCTCCAATTAATCTTGATAGTTCTGTTGTGTGACGCTGTTTTAGTTTACTTCTTAATTAATTACTAATTATAGTAATACTGCACATAATTTTTATCAGTTAGATGTGTTAATAAAAGTAAAGATCTAAAAAAATTAGCATTTAATTGCTTTTAAATAAAATTTCTCTTTGTCAAAAAGTTAAAAACTAAATTGGAAAGATAAGCATCTTGCGTTTTACTTAATGCCAACATTCTTAGAATTGATTCAGATGAGCACCACATGAAAGATGAATTAAAGACTTTATGTTTTGCATAATGGCAACACTTGCCAAGGTGAACAATAATATATTTATTACAGCATAATGAAATGATCAAAAATTCTGTTAAGATTCTTCTAAGGATACTTTCAATGTCAAAATTAATGGGTTTTGATCATGTGAATCATTCTCAAAATTAAACAATAACATACAGAATGTTTTACGCTGTTTTTCTCTATTAAAATCATTAATAACATAGCATAGATAATACGTAATAACACATTGCCAACTTGATCATAAAAAATAATGGGGGTCGCAGATTAGGATCCCCAAGTGTACTTTTCTGCTGGTGCATTTGATCTGCAATCTGGAAACACTTCTGAACATTCTAGTTTGGATTTTGTCTTCTCGGCAGTATATTTTTGACTATTAAAATTCTGATGAAAGCAGTATTCAGATTATTTGAAAATTAATCTAGTAAATTGCACTTCAAATTTAGTAAGAAACAAATCTGAACTTTGCAAAACCTTTATAATCCCCCAAATTTGCAATTTAGTGACAAAGTTACTGTCCTCTTTATAATTTATAAACTTAAATTATATTTTGTGTTTTATTAGATTAGAATTTCGGAAGCAAATTTTGATAGAAAGATATCTCAGCATTTCAGTAATACTAAATAAATTCCATAATAATTGAAACTAATATTGTTAAAGTAAATTGATTTTCTATTCCCATGGCATTGTATAAAATAATCATATAAAATTTTAAGACAATAATTATTTTGAATATTAGCAATTTACATTCAAACAATGCTCATAAACTGATATCTGCAATTCAAACTATCTCCCATCTTCATGAATCAAGTTTTAGTTAAACAGAATTATTTTTTCATATGCAACCTTTTTCTATTTAAAAAAATATGTAAATAAAAGCAACAATTGTTTGCAGTTTTGTGACATAAGATAAGTTGAACGTTTTTTATTTACTTTTTGACTTAGTGCATTTAGCCGCAGTATGATTTTTTCAAGCAAAGATATTGTTGAATAAATTGTGATCAGAGCCTTCACATAAGATACTTAGAAATATATATTTTCTGCATATTTGGAGGAAGATTATTCTAATGTAGAATAAGGTGAAGAACAGCTTTTTGAAAGCATTTCGTATGATCCATCCAGTACAGAAAACTTTGAAAAGCCTGACTTATACCATTTAATGTCAAAATCAAGGAAACAACTGAAAAACTCAGAAACAGATGCTGTTATTACTTATATAAATCTATATTTTATTAAATTTATTTATATTCTTAAAAATTTAAATTAGAAACTTAAAGCAGTATGATCTACCAGCAGTCACGACCTGAGGTAATTGTAGCACACCGATAGGTCACACTACCCAACAAGAAATACAGTATGTTATCCAGAAATGTGTCACTTTATGATGGTTTTAAGATTTGCACTTCATTAAAAAATAATTGTTATTTACCTCTGATTTAAACTCTTCTTCTGTTGGAGGTTTTATTTCATGTGGAACTAAGCTAGATTCATCTCCTTCTTCATCTTCATTTAGTATTTCTTTAACTGGACCATAAAGAACAAAATCTTCCAATACAACTTCAATGTTTTGCAACCACAAGTCAGCATAATTCTGGAAACTCTGTACTTCCACTAAAGCTTTTCGGGCTCCTGACTGTATGCGTTCATTAATTAAATGTTCTAAATTCATCAAATCTGTGTCCTGAGAAATAACTTCCTAACCATGGAGAGAAGGAAAAATATGATTGTGTTATTAAACTGGTGAAGTAATACATTTTTTTAATGAAAAATGCTTTCAAGCTATAGATAAATGATGAAAAATATAAAAAAAACTTGCATAATAATCAGTTTCTTTATCTCTCATTCGCATAATCTGATTGGCTAGAGAGTAAATGTTTTCGATGACTGCATCAAAGATTTTTTTTATACTACCTCGTTGTTCACTGACTAAAGGAGGAATAAATGCTATATCTTCTTTTAGTACCATACATACTTTATAAAATGGGGCCTAAAATTAAAAAAGAAAATATTTAGTCTTAAGATTGTTTATAATACTAATTCTATGAATAAATGTATTTACTATATAATTTATAATATGAAATTTTAATTAAATCATTTAAACAATCTCATTGAAATTCAGTTGAATGATTATTGTTACATGAGATGCCAAAATGAATAAATACAGAATCTTCCAGAATGCTGTTAGTTTAAGGAAGAGGGTAATTTTTTATGCTTGATTGAAAGAGTGGATATTGACAGCTAGAGATACACCGAGGACCAAGAAAAGACAGCATTTACTACCAGACAAGGACTTTGGCAGTTCAAGATAATGCCATTTAGATTATGTAATTCGCTGACAACATTTGAACGCCTCATGGAGACCGTGTTGAGAAATCTTTCCTGCGAAGCCTGTCTGATATACCTGGATGACATCATTATTGTTGGTAAGAGTTTTGAAAAGCATTTAGAAAATATATGTAAAACTATATAAGACTGAAGTGAGCATTAATTTCTCAGTTGTTTTAGTTCAGAGTATTGAGAGATTTTTTCAAGAGCTTTTTAGATGCGCTATTTTTGCAATGTGCTGTTTTTAAAGTTCATAGCAGTTTGAAGTGTAACTACCAATTTTGCTCTTATGATACTAAGAAGAGCTGTACGAGTATTTTTTGTGGAAAGTTTCAGAACTGTAAAATGTTTCTTTTGGTAAAAATAAATTTTATCAAGTTATCATCAGTTCCGTTTGCATTCATTCTATTATGAGCCTGTGTGCAGGCAACAATTTTGGTGTCAGAAGTGGGATTCAAACCCATGTCTAAAGTTTGTGAATGGATGTGTTCTTCTTTTGGCATGATGGTGTAGGAGAGTTTGCTGTGATAGCCTTTGGTCCGGTTTCATATCCCAAAAAAGGCATGGTATTTGTATAGTATCTGTGCAACATAGGGGCTCTTAACATATTGTTAAGCTGAAAATTAACTGAGAGTTTGATGGCAGAGTTAGAAGACCCTCTGATCAATCTCCTGGGAGGGCACAGGCTGGGCAAAAGTCCTATTATCACTCAAAAGGCAGTCATTACCTCATGGTTATGATGAAATTCATACCCTTGATTGAGAGACCCTCTCAGATCAAGAAGATTAGAAACAACAATAGGACTAATAAACAATGAAAATGAAAATTAATAGCCTTCAAAATCGTCTAGCACCTACACACATTATTGTGGCAGTGTATGAGTTGTTGGATTAAGTTTCATGGTCATTTTAAGATAAGCACCAAAATTATGTTATCGCACTTTTAATATTCTCTATATCAGAAAATGTGCCCTTTTCTCGCAGACTTCAGTTTCAGAAAAAGAAAACAGTCTGATAATAAAAAATGAGCAAAATATGGAGAGTATTTCATTTCTATACATTATTTGTCAAGAACTGCTTCACATTAACAGCAGTGTGTGATCTTGTATTGCAGTGTTTTCTTTTCACCAGTCTATTGCATAGTATTCTTTTATTGATAGTCTGGCTTAGAGGAACAAACTTACAGTGTATTAATCCCTGTCAATCAAAGAAAGTGGTTAATATCACTTTGACTTTGCAAACTGGAATTTGTATTGTCCTGGAGAGATTAGTGATTGCCATTATCATGTTGTTCTTTTTTGATTCCAGGTCATATTGATAACACCAACTTTAAAAAAAAGAGAGAGAGAGAAGTATCACTATCTGAAGTTAAGTCCTTGCAAGTTTTCATTCTAAATTTCTTTTGTTTAGCCATGGTATGAATCTTGCACAAAGTTTCCTTTTACCCAAATCTTGTTTCAGAATTGCATGAATTGTATTCTTACATATGTTCAAATTATCTGTGAACATCTTAAGTATCATTTCACAATCCACAGCCTCTAAACCACGAATTTTTTCAAATATTCCATATGGTTGGCTGACAAGGGGATACTATTCTATGACTTTTCTTCCATCATAAAACTACAAATACGATTCAAAGTTGTGAGAGCAGGACATTACAATATCCCCATATGCTTTTTTCAATATTTCATGGATTTCAGTGGTAGTTTTTTTAAGCTTAAAACTAAACTTTCCATTCACACTCCTTATTCCATTAATCAATCTCTGACAACTTATCTGTATGTCAAAACACAAACTAACTGAACGAGGATGTGAGCAGCTTGTTTTTTAATTATTCAGATAACTACAGATTCATATACAGACATAATTTAGACAAACAAAAGATACCTAGATATTTTTTATTGCCTAGTAATAACGACTGCCTGATCTGCCTAATTATATATGCTAAAATTCTGGCAAAAATGACTGCAAATAAATGGCAAAAATTCTTATATATGCTGGCTGTATAATTAGTGAATTAACTAACATACACATTAATCTGTGAAAATTAACACATATCCATATACTGAAACAACACCATAAAGTTGAAAAAGTACATTTAAATTATCTTTTCTGTGGTACAAGTGTTTTATGTTTCCTGAATTGTTGAATTTTAACATTCCTGACAAAAACCTTAATTTATTTCAAGTACTGCATGTTTGTATTTATTTTCAATATTTAAAATTTCTTTAATAAATTATGTGATTTTTATTAATATACTGCAGCTACTTAAGAGAGATTATGATTTAAAAAAAAAGGTTTTGTTCAATATTTTCAGCCAAACAATGATTACTGCTAAAATTGATTTGTTGTAATCTTATGCAGTATGTCTACAAAATTTGAAACCTAATTTTTGTTAACATATTCCAATAAACTTGACGAATAACAGTTGGCAGTATTTATTGCTATGACATATCAGCTTGTATTTTCTAAATATCATGTTTGTTCACAGACAGATAATTGTTTGCTTTGATCTAGCGAACATCTGTTGTTATGGATTCGAAAACTCAGCACAAGAAGAGCAATGAAGTTTTATTGTTAAGTGAAACACCAATGAAAACATTTGATATTGCTTGATCTCCAAATACTAAGCATACAGAGATCAAGCTTAACACAATTCAGTGACTGTCCGTTGGTGCGGGCAATTTCCTGATGAATAAGAGGTGATTTCTCTTTGCACCCTTGAACAATAAAATATCAAAAAAGTTTGACAACTGTTGCTGAAAAATCATCACCTCTTTCTTAGAATGATAGCTGATGAACTTAACAATACTAAAAGCACTGTTCACAAAACTGTTGCAGAAGATTTTTAAAAAAGAAGATTTGAGTCTTGTTTTCTCCTTCACGGCTTCATGCATTCATTGCAAAACAAAACAAAAAATCGATTATCTGCATGGCAAGATTTGACCAAATAATACACATTTATTTTTATTTTTTCAAACAAACTGTGACTGAAGATTCAACTTAGTGCTTCGCTTAAATCTTGCAGGAAAAAACAGCAATCATATGCTTGGGTTGGAGAAGGTTCACAGTGGCCATAGAAATTTGTTTCAAAATTTTTAAGTAAGAGCCACTCCTGAGGAGACAGATGATGAACTTCTGATTTGATAAATGGACAAACTTCTAAATATATTTCGAAATACATGTGGCTTCATTATTTAAAAAAATTCAAATGTTTTATTTCTTGAGAAGATGAAAAAATTGTTCGAGTAATTTAAATTACTTAAATTTTGAAAACAAAGTAATCTTTTAAAACTTCATTGAAACTTAAAATTGTCATTAAATATACCAAATAAAAAAATTTAATTTATGATTTGAGGAAAATATGAAATCAAAACACAATGCCTTAATTAAATTTTGTATTTAAAATTGTTGGTATTTTATTTGACATTTATTACAATACTGGTATTACCTTTTGATAATCAATGGGTAGTAATTTTAGAAAAAATAATTTCTTTCCTGTAAGATGTAATGTTAGTGAGGCGTATATGAATTGCAGAAGTTGAGAAAGAAAACAATTGTACAATGATCTTCAAATTAGAAAATGCATTTGAAAAAGAAACTGGGGAATTAACACCAACGATTTCTGTCTCATTTCATTCTAAACAATAGCTTCTGTAAATACTTTGGGGGAGAACAAACAATCTTGTGCTGTGATGCGGTTTTCTATCAAAATCCCAGTATAATGAAACGAAACATCGATGCAATATCTATTCAGGGACAAATTTTGAAGAAAATTACTTGAGAATTAGATTCATGCTTAATATGGACCATTTCTGATGTTTAAATTACAAGCATGAATTAATTCTTCAAGATTTCAATAACGGAAAATTAAAAATAAATGGAATTAAGTTTTAAGTTCTGGGGAGAATTTCATTATTTTTGACTGTAAAGTTTCAGACGTTTTAATGTTTCATAATAACAATTTGCTTACCCAAGATCTTTTTCCCTACACTTCTGAGATAGCTCCTACAAGTTGTTTCGTTTTTTTTTTTTTTTTTTTTTTTTTTTTTTTTTTTTTTTTTTTTTAATTACAATGTTTCAAAATACAAAAGTTGAAACTTCAAGTGATCCTCATCCAAGCTATTAAACTCCAAGTTCAGTTTGAAAATAATGAATTATTTAGAAAATTGATTTATCAGTTATTATTATTAGTAGTAGTATTCATTACACAAATGGGTTAGACACTTTTTGCATCTCCTCTCTAATTTCACTTAGCATTTGATATTTGTTACTAACCATTTTTTTGTTTCCACTATCCAAATTTTCCAAGAGATACTGGAGACTACACCTAATGTTATCTTTAAGGGCATTTTCAATGATGGATTCTAAATAAGATACATAATTTTTCCATTCAGCACTGTTGGAATCACATTTAAATTCTTCCAGATTATCCTACAATGATAACAAAGAATGTTTAAAATTCAAGGCTTTTATCAGATATGTGAAAGATTTAATTAATATTTCACTGAAAAAAGAAAATATTATATACATCAAATAATGTTTGTTGTAAACTTTTGTCAAGGAAACAAACCTGAGATTTAAAAAAAAAAAAAAATGTTTAGAAGTGTTATAGTTTATGAAAATACTGTTTATTTGCTTGTATTTTGTGTTACATTGGTTACCTTTCTTTTTTCATCATTATATACTATATATTTTTTCTTTATTTACTGTTATTGTTGTATGCTCCTATTTATTTTCTGCATTGTTTTACTGCAACAGTGCATTAATTCTATCTCCTTGCGTTCCTAATGGATTAAATACACAAGTCCGATAATAGATTAATAAAATATATTCTTATATGAAATATATATGAACGCTGGAATTTTGCTCAGAGATAATCTTATAAATGTTCACAATATCACACAGTATGATCAGTAGTTATACTTCAAACTACTAAAATACAACGCAATGGAAGTGCATCTAAAGAGAAAGCTAATTGAGATATCTCAGTTCACGCGAAATTAATCGACTCGCAACAACAATAATTAAGCAACTTATTAAAACTCCAACTACCGTTAATATGTCGCGATTGTTGTGCAAGTAATGCACGACGTATTCCGACTCTCTTGAAGTGTGTTCCACTGTGGGCTTGTAGATAGACTGATACCTGAGTCCAAGACGAACTGTCGAAAGTATAGAAGGGAAAATGACCATGGCCACGTGAGCAGGCGGTGACATCGGATTGACTGGGTCCTTTTCTATTAAAATTAGATGAAAGACACCAAATTTCATGAATAATTAAACAAAATAATTAATCTTGTGTGGAGGTAATCTTCAACTGTTATGCCATGCAACTGCAGACCTGCTTATCTTTGCAAGTTTAAAATAAACAAAAAATTAAGTTGGAAAATCCTGACTGTCTGTAAGGAGGAATGCAGCAAAATTAATAAGTTGAAACGCATCAGTTGGCTGCAATCCACTGCATTCTGGAAGAATTTCTCGTTGGTCTTGTGCAGATACTTAGACAGCGGTTCGATATTTAGATCTTCACGAAGTCTTTCATTTCTGACAAAAGTATTAGACATTAGTCATAATTCTGAGGAATTTGCTTTGCACAGTTTTTAGTCATTTTTTGAAGCCGTTGCCCAAGCAGGGAAAGCATTTGACATGATAGGTCTTACAATAGACTGATAAATCAGACGTTTTATTGGCAAGATCTAAATTTGAATATTTATCGAAGACATTGCATAACTTTAGTAGCTTTACTTGTGATGTGCTAAATATGATTGGTCCAAGTCAGTTTGATATATAAAATGACACCTAAATAGCGAGCTTGCTTCACGATGGTGATGGGTTCATCGAAAAGAGTGAGATTTTTCTTAATAGGGATATTTTTCTTTTTCCGTCTAATAATGAGACTTGGAAGCATTGATGAGAACCTTCCAGTTGGCACACCAGGTTTCAATAGCAGATTCGGATGGCAAAATTAATGTTAGCAGATTTCACAGCCAGCGCCGTGTCATCATCATAACAGGCAAGCATGTAGAGTAAAGAGGTCTATTGCAGGTGTAGACGGATTCATAGTTTTAATCAGTGGCCAGAAGGAACCATCCTTAGTATCTATATTTGAGAGCTTATCCTGCCATAAACTATGCTTACGTGCTTTGATATCCTTATTTCGTCTGTTAATATCACGTTTAACAGCCGGATCCCACAGTGAGGTGATATAATTTGCGGAGTCTATATCTTTCTCTCATTTTATGTCTGATTTTTCCTGGGAGACGACAGAGTTTGTCAGGATTTGAAATAATTTCACTGGCTTGGCTTAAAGCCGAGGTGATGCAATCAGTAAGCAAATTGAAAGCTCTGTCAATTCCAGCACTGTCCTTTAAATTTGTAAGTTTGATAGGGCGGCTCTTAAAATATTTTCAAAGAGGATCCAGTTTGCGATGGATTTTGTTTTTTGATTGACAGGCTTGGATGCACGTACAAAGTGTCACAACAAAGGCAAATGATCGGAAGAGAGTTCGTGTTTTACATCTGAAAACATAGGAATGGTAAGATCAGTTAACACAATATTCAGAATGTCTGCAATTCTTCTGAGTCTGTGTGGTTATTCATTTGGCGCATGAATGCAAACAGGATTACTAAAGATGTAATCCTCAAGAATTTTGCCATTGTCATTGCTTCGTCTGAAATTCCAAGATGTACTTTTCGCATTTAAATCACCAGCCACAATGATCGCGGTATCCGAGGGTAGGATGAAATCCAGTGAATTAAAATTTAACCTACTATTCGGCGGATTATAAATTGCGCAAAAATTCACATTTTTTTAAATCTGGGAGAGTAATATTTACAGATACAATTTCACAATTATGGGTGCTTTCCTCTTTTAGGAGACATGAGTGGAGATTATTCCGCGCATAAATCATAATGCCATCGCCTCGGTGGCTTAGTCGGTGACAACGGTAGACACGGTAATTCGGCGCACGTAATTTTTGATAAGGCTGAACGTGTGTTTCTGACTAAAATGCTCTGTCTCCGACCTTTTATAGATTTCAACCGGTCACAAGATATTTTTCGTACTTTCTGCTTCTGGAAATTACTGGAAAGCAATAAGAGGATGGAATTACGGTTACATCTAACATAGTGGTCAATTACATTTATTCAATTTCAATACAATTCGTGATACAAATTACCGAGATTACCATTTACTCAATCTTAGATGCACGTGCTCCTGTAATTTTACTTTTCCGGCATAGCTTTCTCTTAAAATTTGTTTCGCGTTGCATTATATGGGGAAATACAATAGTTTTAATTATTATTCTACTAAAAATATCTAATTAAATACAAAATTCGTAACACTGACGTCCCAGGCAAGGACTGCACGTCCCAGGCAGTACTATCTCTGGTCAGGAAGCCATATTTACAATTAAGGCATCAATGCAATAATAAACATTATGTTACAATAAAAAACAACATAAACAATAATTGCACTTATACAAACTTAAATCAAATGCTAAATATATAAATCTGTGCTCTAATTTACAAATTTAGAAACAAAGAGGACCATGGTCTTATTCTATTTACATTATATACAATACGTACCCAAGATGACTGTAATTTAAGAGACAATCTTTTCTGTCGAACCGGATTCCACAACCACACCTTGTCTTCTTCGTTGAATGCATGTCCTGCAGCTCTCATGTCATATTGGGTCTTCATCTTCTCCGTCGCCAAGCTGACTCACTCTATTGTAAAACTGTGCATCACTTCAAAATGGGCCTGGAGATATTTGGTGTACTCGTCAGGCGATGAAGCCGCATCCGGAGGGCAACCAAACAAGAAATCGCAAAGCCGACGAACTTAACGACCGGAAAGCATCTGAGATGGGAAATAGCCGGTATAATCTCGTGGGCAGCATTGCGATGAGCCAGTAAAAATAGAAGAGACTCAGGTGTTAGAAACACTTGTCAGCAGGCACCCGGGTTATAAGAACCACATCCTGTATAGAACTCGTACGAAAAAGGCATATTTTTTTCTAACCTAACGTGACAAAGTTCGTAATTGTACACGAGATTTTTTATCCCAGTCCTAGTAAGTACTTCTTCTCCCAGTCCTATTGATTTCTGGAAACCACCAACGAGAGTTTGTTAAGGCGGTGTGTTAACGAATGTCTGCCTATTCGTTCAACATAAGTAAATTTAGCGCTCTATTATCTCATAAAAAAAATGCAGTGCCGTACTGAAAAAGTCTGCTGCTACATAGAATACATCCTCGAAATTCTGCTGAATTAAAAAAAATAGCATACTTTATCGTGTTATTATAAATATTGCCGAATATCACTTTGTTTTTAGCGTTTTCGAGTAGATACTATTGAAAATAGAGGGGCCACAACTCCATTTCGGCGTAGTCATTTTCTTTGGAGCAATATTATTTTTCTGCATAAAATGATTAATTTTTATCTTAGGAAACAAAGAACATTACGATTCACCATGACCCGTTCATCATCAAAATGTATTCTACACAAAATGTCACATACATAATACTTAAATACGTTCAACCTAAAGGTTTCGGTAACGTCATTGCCATCTTTCGCCAAGGAAATTGGCGAATTTTTCACGCCTGTGTTGTAGATGTCTGAGAGTTGAAAGGTTTCGAATGTATGTACCCCCCGCACACGTTGACCCTTTCATTACTCATCAAGATCCCCAAACTTGACCGTTTCATAGCCATCTTCGCGTCTGGCCCCCCCTCACGGTCGTGCATTCATGCAACCGTTCTTTTCGCCTGTTGGCTCTCCGCTAAAGATAATTCCCACCTAATTTTGACTCCTTCTAGTCCCAATATTCAGCTAGGGTTCTGCGAGACCGTGAGATCATTTGCTATTTTTCCGAGCGCGTAGGATATCTTCACCCTGCCCCAGTTACCACTTTTATCCATTTAGTAAACTCCTGAATGCTGAACTGCTAGTACATGGTATTTATAAACTTATCATAGAAAAAATGCCGTTCAAACTACTCATATTTTCTTACTATATTTTATCTTAGTCAGCACGTCATTGAAGGCATTGAAATATGAATAAACGATTTAAAAAAGTCTTCAATATTCGATTGTGTGTGGTTTATATAACGAATTTTTTCTCCCTCCCATTTTCCCCCTTCATATGTTATTGTTTTTTCTGCTCACGTAGTAATAAGTTATTCATCGCCGGAAGGATGAAATTAATGGCATTAAGGCACATCTCGAGAGGAAATCGTGAATTCACGAATATTTCGCGCGAGGTTTTACTTCCATTTCTTTAAAGAATCGGTGGAACGACGCTCAAGTATATTATTTCAACAATAAAGCTTTGCCAGTGTTAATCGACTCGTTACAGACAAGATCTGATTTAAGTGATAGTATAATGTAACGTTATACGCCCAACAGGATTTTTTATTTATTTGGTTTGTTATCACATTGGTTTGGTTATGTATTCATTACGGCAAGAACCAAGGGATATCTAATAAATGGAGGATGCCTGCGTTGAGGACTTTTCTACGTGAAACGGCTATACCATGCTATTACATGGGAAAAATCACACGAAACCCCCATGAACCAACCATTCGCTATTCAGCCCCGCTCGTCGTTGTTGACCTAATCTGCTATCTGTCCGGGTTTGTATTCGAAAGGGTTGTTCAAGAGCCGGCAAGTATAAAAGATTTAAACATGAAACCATCTCGAAACTTCAATATAAATCAGAAAAATTCGTGATTTTTTTTATTTATTATATGGCAAAATTACGAAAAATCCTT